TAACAATGGCGGGGCACTTCAACCTCTTACTGGTCATTTTAGCCCTTACAAAATATTTATTTTACATCAGATGAAATTAAATTTAACAATAAATTGTGTGGGGATCAGCAAAATTTTCTAACATCAAGCGCATCCAATCCTTCCAGTCTAAAGTCCTTCGAACAATAGTCGATGCTCCTTTCTATGTAACCAACAAAACCCTACATCATGACCTCAACATCCCATTTGTCCTAGACCTTATCCCAGAAAAATTCTCCAAATTTCACCAGAACCTTACTTACCACCCAAATCCTCTTGCACAATCTCTATCAAGCACCTCCCATCCCTATAATCCTCCAAGAAGGTTGAAACGGCAGTGGCCTCGCGACCTTTTGTAGATTGTATAAATTGGAGTTCTGGCAATGGCCAGATTCTTCACTCAAGACATGTGTGTATGTGGCTAAAGTGCTCTCGACCAATCTCCGCTGGCTTTAGCACCAGTGACGCGGTTGGGAGAATAGCGCAGGGTTCCCCTGGAGTTCCCTCGCCTGATTGTATATAGGTATGCATGTGTTTTTCTTTTCTTAGTTTTTCTTTTCTTATTTTTTAGGTTATTTTATTTTATTGTCTATTGTATATACTTTTGATTATTATTTTGTTCTATTTGTTTTATTTTTTTGTACATATAGTGTGAATGTCATCCTACCTCACTATAACCAATGTCCAACAGACAGATTGTTATAATACTCAATAAAGAAATTAAAAAAAAAAACAACAATAAATTGAAAGCATAAAATATTTAAAACAAAAAAAGTGTCAGCAAATTTTAAATTTTGTTGTATAGGTGCGTTATTTGAAGAAATGTAAAGACTGTTTTTGCCAATTTGGTGGTATTTTTCAGAATTTCAGTTATATCGTTCTCCAACTCAACTTCATTCCGTTGTGTTTCATATCCATAACACTCAGTCAAAATGTGCCTGACTGTTAAATTGACCCCGCAGCAGAGACACTGACGGGACGTCTCCTTTTTCATCAGGTGCTCATGAGATAGCCGTGAGTGGCCGATTCGGAGCCTTGGTTATTTAATATAAATCGTTTTTATATTTATTATCTATTAAGTCAATTAAATCTGCAATTATAAAACTTTCCCAAATATTTTTCATATAGTACTACCATATCAAAAATGATGTAAAATAAACTAAACTGAATTCAAAAATATAGTGTGTCCAATCACACGACTTTCCTGCGGTCAATACCCTACAAAATAAAAGAAGAAAGCAACAAAATCAGTTCAGTAGTTCCTGAGAAAATCTTGGCACAGACTGACAGACCAGTGGCTAAAAATGTGTTTTTCCGACTCAGGAGGCTCTAAAATGTATAGATGCGTGGAAAACCTCTTATCGGAAATTTGACCCAATCGCAATACTTTCCTTACCTAGTATAGGTAGGAAAGTGAAAAATAAAAACACTTGTTACTAAAATAATATCATAGGTCTCATTTTATTTCATAGTATATCGAAAACAAAAATAAGTTACCCGATGCAAAAAATTTATCATATTACTCTAGGAACAAATCATAACTAGTTTAGATTAGAATAACAAGTGCACTACGTATACATGAAAATTCTGACTATTTTTGTTGTTTATATCTATTACTCTAGTATTTTTTTTCGTCTAAAAAAATAAAAATTTATATTTACAAACACTTGTTAATTACAAATGTATCAATGGAGCATAGGTTTAAAACAAATAATTTGATTTGACAATTGTTTTCCTCTATATTTTTCAACTTACAATTCTTACCACAAACATTTTAGATTCCCCATGCTCAGTAGTGAATTGAGATGCAGACGTGTCTAAGATATTCAAAACGATAAATATAGGCGTCGATTAATTTAGGATTCCAAACCTTAAAACTTAAATATAATATATAGAAACTTAATATCTATAAATATAATATAAACTTAAAGGTTTATCGAATAAAACATTCATTTGCGCAAGATACTTCAAGAAAAAGCACTCACGCTCAATCAGTCCTAAAATAGTGTTAAATTAGTCTTCCACTTAACAATTTGACTTAAGTAAGTTCCTTCAAATAATTTTAATGAACTAGGTCATTTGGAAATTCAATTTAGAATTTTCAAGTTCCTTAATAAACTGGAACGGCAGAATTAAATTTATAAGTCAGAGCCGTTTGTGAAAGTTCTATATTTCAATCTAATGCCATAAGTTGGACAATATCAAGGGAAGATCCTACTTGTGAAACGTCTTTATTATTGTGTATTGTTATTAAGTAATAATTTCTTTAAATGACAGTAACAGTGAGCGAGGAATATTCTATAAAAATCCTTATATAGAATATATCGTCAGATGAATTATTTTACATGACTTTGGCTCGATATTATGTTTTTCTTTCTGCAGCATTTTGTCACTTTTCAACTTTTGTAGTCGTCTCCCTTTTCAATTATTGTTTCATTAATATGTATTTACTGGCATTTTCGCTCAATAATTTTAATTTTTTTAATAATATCTAGTTTACACGCCAACTTTTCCGTAGATGTGTCTGAGACATCACTTGTAATCCTAATAATCAATGATAAGATATGGTCATAAGGTCGAAAATCATCATAACTAATATGAATGTTAACCTTTATTAAAAATGTGATAGTGTATTTTCTCAATAAACCGACAATATATTCGTATTGTCCGCAGCAAAATTGAATTAATAAAATGGGTTGATATAAACTCAATAAATATATATATATATATATATATATATATATATATATATATATATATATATATATATATATATATATATAATCTTTTTCTTTGTTTGATTAATTGTTACAAACATTACTATGGCGAAAGTCTTTCTCTTATCGATTGATTATTTGGACCATTTTATCAGAAAATGTCAAACGTTACCCGAAGGTTATTGCCTTATCCCATCAATAACTTTGTATTCAAAAAGATATATTTCAAAACATTATCCTAATTTATATAAATTTGACAGTTGTTAATGATTTAATTATATAACTCGAAATATCAAGATATTGAGTTTTAACATCAAAATGTCAAGTCACCTGGCTATTCGTCCAGGCACAACCTTTTTGATTGTGCAGATTAATATGACACCCTAGAAGTCTCATTAAAATGTGTGACTTACAGTGCCATTTAAATAACTGTTAAATATCTAGAACATAATAATTTCAATATTTCAATATATGTCAGGATAAGTAGAATAAAAATAGGAGTTAAGAATCGGCAGTGCTCGGAAATATCTTCAGTTCGTCCAAACTTGGCAGGAGTTCCCCAAAGTTCAATAATAGCCCCTCAAGTTTACGTTATATACACTTACAATATACATATTAAAGATGAGATCTTGACAGCTACTTATGCAGATGACAAAACAATTATCATAAAACATCAAGACCCTACACAGACCTCACTAACACTATATCACTTACTTAAATTATAACATTGGTTCAAACTATGAAAAATTCGACTTAATCATGACAAATCTAAACAAACAACATTTACTCTTCGAAAAAATACCTGCCTTCTACTTCTTATTAACAACAATCAATTTCCTCAAACGGGCACGGTACTTTACCTTGGACTCACCTTCGACAGAAGGATCGCACAGCGTCCTCATGTTTAAATGAAACTTAAGACACTTAACAAACGACTCAAAATACTTAACTCTTTTTTTTCTAAATCTTCAAAACTAAAATTAAAACAGAAACTGAATACACATCTATACTTACTTGAGCCCATATGGACTTCACAAGTATACGCCATTGCTAAAAAGACCAACCTACAATAACTTCAAATGTTCCGATCAAAATTTTTGCGACTCATAACAAAAGCCTCTTGGTACGTGACTAACAAAACTCTACATACTGACCTCCACTTTCCAGCAGTTGACCAACATATAACGACTCTTTTTCAACGATTTTACATAAATTTAAATGGACATATTAACAGACTAATAAGAGACATGGCCACAGCTCACATAGCTCAGAACATAAGGAGGAGACTAAAAAGGCGTTGGATGGGAGATCTCCTTCCTTAAACTACCTAAGTAATTGGAACAAGCTAGAGAAGAGGTACTGGTCAGTACCTTCCTTTCCCACCATGCCTGTCATTATTTCATGTATCGCCATCACATTTGATGACTGTCAACAATAAGTTGACAGGCGCCAATACATTTTTCCAGACAAAAAAAAAAAAGAATCGTGTATCTGAAAATGTGTCATTTGTTCATATTATCAGTTTTCAATAATTTTAGCTTGTTCAGCTTTACCTCGCTTGATTTTCTTCCTAACCTATCTGTTTGCATGCTGATTACTTGAATTTTTTGTATACATAATATGTCTTAAATAAAAAAAACTGATCGAGTTACGTACTTTTTATTTCCTACCGTCAATATATCAGAGTTTGTGTTATATTTATGCTCTTAAAGAGTTTTGCTTTGCCAAATATGACTGAAGTTCATAAACATGCCCATTTAGTCAAACCATAAAGAACATGTTAACTGAAAGTCAGGACTAATGACCAATGGAGCAACACTTAAAGGCCGAATTAATGGTCAGTGGTGAAGACCCATTTTTTTCAAAATATTAACTTCGTGAAAATCTTCATCTCTTCGTAAACTACAACTATTTTATCTACGAAAAGTATCGGAATTTTTTAATTCCTTTACAATCTGTAGATCGGCAAACTTTGTCTATTTAATTAGGTACCAAAACCTCGTATATACCCATTTGATTCCCACATATATCGTGAGATAATTTGATCAAAGAGAAAAAAAAGAAGGCATGCAAAAATATTAGACCGTTTGGCGGTACAATTATCTCGTTATGTCGATGTTTTGGGAGTGTAGGTCACGCCAAACGGCTCAATATTTTAGAAGCCCACCTGGTAAATTTAAATTTCCCTAACAATCTAAGAAGATTTTTAAGTAGCATTCCTTAAAGTAGGGTTGGATTTACTGATTTCTGTCGAAGGTTTTTTTTTTATATTAATAACAGGTGACTAATCCGGCATTTTTACCTTAACATCATATGTAAATCAATACTTTTATTCATCAACATTAAACGACAAATCTAAGTACACGGGTTAAAATTTTCTATTTCATTAAAAATTCAATAAATTAAGTAGTAAAAACATAATTTTTCAGAATGAGTATTAGTTCTATTACACAGACTTCTATCAAACAAGAATTTCTCCAAGAAACAAATGGCGATAGCAGTCTATCCAACATGTTGGCTATTGAAAACTCTGAAGGAGACAATATCGAAAAAAAGAAAGAAAAAGAGGAATTCTCTAATACACTTCAATCATTACTAAATACTCAGAAACTGGGCGCAATGGTGGGAGAAATGAAGAAGGATATTTCTGTTATAGTCAACTTCAGTGGAAGCAGTGAAAAAAACATCGGTGAACAGCAGGTTTTTATTAGATTAGATCTTATCAACAGCTACATCGACCAAATGGTATATCATGAAGGCATGCCCATCAATGGAAATAATTTGGCAATGATGTTATCAGTCGATAGTCCTTACAAGTATAATCAAGGATCAAACAAAGAAAAAATCGATATTAAAGCTCCTTCTTCTAGCAAGCAGTTAGAAAATGCACAACAACTCGAACGCATAATGTCAAAATTGAAAGATGATATCACAGTTGTTTTAAACAATGGAGAAAAATCTGAAATGGCGGTTATAAGGAAACGCGTTTTTATACATTTAGAATTATTGTATAACTTCATTGACCTTGTAGTGAACTTTAAATATATGATGAATAAGGGCGATTTGACATTTGAAGAAGGTATATCTGTAATGAAGAAAACAACTAGCGAAACTTTATTTCGTATTAGAGAAGACGTTTTTAAAGCTTATATGATGTTAGAATCAAAAGATAGACACACTATGGCCAGGGGAGGAGGAGAGATGATTCGTATTTTTTCGAGTTTATACATTATTGAGAGAAAACTTCACTCGGCTTATGGGAAAATTCATCACGCACTGATAAAAAGAAACAGAAGTAAGAGCAACAAAGCATTCAGTTTCCTGCCAATCTTGAAAAACCACAGGCGTATATGTAAAGATTGATCAATAAATTTAAAATGATCACAATCTATTTATAAATTAAAAAATAAAATTATTCATCCTAGGCGACTGGAATTTTGAAATCGGGATAGTGAAGTACAATGATTAACGAAATATCCTCAAATGATGAGCAATTCTGTGAAATTCCTCATGACATTATTCTTTGGAGCTAACGGGAAAAAGGGTTGTAAAAATTTAAATAATTTTCATTCCACCCATGTTATGCAATTTAATATTCATCACATGCCATACTCATTCTGTACATTGGGGCATTTTTTTTCCTTAACTTTTTTAAAGAGGTTATTGAAGAAAATATGTTCTCGAAGCTACAGAAGAACTTTAAAAATTCGCTTAGTAACTATGACCTTCAACATATTTTCGTTCGATCCTTTATAGAAAGGTTCAGGAGACAGAAGTCGCACAGGTTCGAAATCCGATTGAGCCGTTAAAATTTACTTGATGGTGAATCCACAGAATAAATCTCAACCTTCTCATTCTGGCTAGCAACGTTCGTTGTATGAACGGCAAGCCGGATTTTGTGCCGTAATTGGCTCACATAAGAAAGATAATCCATAATTTTAAGATTTTTTTTTTGAGAAAATATTTTGTATTATTTACGTCTTTTTATTCAGCCTGATTTATATATAATCAGTAAAAATATTTTTAGCAAGTTCCTCTCTCCTCCAAAAAGAAAAACAATCACTACTTGCCTAGATTTACTTATAGCCTTCGAAATTGTATATATCATCATTTTTTCACAAATCTTTAAGTAAGCCTTTGAGCAGCTCTCGTAATTTTTATATTATCGTTCAAAATGCGTAATCACTCTTAATCACTTCTAAAAAATTTTTTTCATATTTTTGTCGAGAATCCACAAGATTCTTTATTTTTCCTATAATTTTTTCAGCATTATTGGTGTTTTATCGAATCACCACCGTAAATGTGTTATTTTGCTTTTTAAGAGATAATATTGTCCAATGACTTCAAATGCTTCGTTTTTGTGGTTAAATTAATTTGAAAATGTGTTTTTTGGGGGGGAGAGAGGGCGAGTATAAGGATGTATTTGCTCTTATTAACTTTGTGTTGACAATCATCAAATGTGATGGAGATGCAAGAAATAATGACATGCCAGACAAAGGGAAGGAAAGTACTCAGCACCACCTCTTCCCTGAATTGTTTCAATTACTTATGTAGTTTAAGGAAGGACATCTCTCATCCTACGTCTTATTAGTCTTCTCTTGCTATTATGTAGTACGTCAGCTGTGGTCATAGCTCTTATTAATCTGTTATTATGTCAGTTTAAATTGATGTCAAATCTTTGGTAAAGGGTCGTTATATGTTGGCAAATGTTGGAATGTGGTGGTCAGAATGTAGAGTTTAGTTAGTCACTTACCATGATGCTTTTGTTATGAGGCACAATAATTTAGATTGGAAATTTTGAAGTTTTGGTATATGGGTCTTCTTAGCGATAACGTATATTTGTGATGAGTATGTTCAATAGCAAAAAGAGGAAAAAGTAATTTGATTCGTTTGTTAAGTGTCTTAAGTTTCATTTTACATACGGGCCACATTTCGTCCTTCTGCTGAACATAAGTCCAAGATAAGGTACCGTGTCCGTTTGAGTACTTTGATTGTTATCAATATAAGCTGGGGGCAGATTTTTTTTTAAGAACAAATGTTATATGTTTGCATTTAACATTAAGTTGAATTTTCCATTGTTAGAACCAATGTTGTAATATAAGTAAGTGATGTAGAGTTACTTTGGAAGTTTTGTTTTTTATATTAGAATGTCTTTTAATGAAGTGTTTTAAATTTTTGAATATAATATCCCCCGTTGAATATCACATACCTTATACTGTAAACGAAGCTTGAATATTAAAGAGTTGTGACAGAACAGGAAGTGAAGTGCGTGTGACTTCATTATACCCGTCTTAAAAGTCATTTGTTTTCCTTCTCTGTCAAAGAATACCAAGTTTGGTCCTTTAAATCAATAACTAACACGTTTTCTTTATTTAACAAATAAATATCATTAATTTAGTAAATGTGTCTAATTATTTTATTATGGTTGAAAGAGATTTGAATAGTAAAGAATGGAAAATTTTCTTAAGCAATTACAACGAAAAAAAAATCAGGAGTTTACAGCAAAAATCTAATGAAAAAGGTTAAAACTAGTCACAATTATCAGGAATGTTTTGGGGCCTTATAGGAAATACGACACTGATGGTTTTTGTGCTTCGAACCAAAAAATTATTATAATTGTTTAGATGATATCAGCTAATAGTGAAAGCAAAGTTTGTGAGGTTACTTCGCCGTTTAAAATCTATTATTAAACGTCATATGGTGTGTCTCATGTTACTTTCCTACCGATTAAAGACAAATTTAAACCATTAAGCCATTACACTATCAATACAACAACAAAACATTACTCATGCTGCGAGTTATTGCCCTAAGAGGTATGTCCTGACACCCACGATGTTTATTAATTTCTTTAAACGTCTTGGCAGATGATTTTTTGTAGGTGATTATAACGCCAAAGGCCAATTCTAGGGTTCTAAACTATCCACTCCAAGAGAAAGGAATCTTAGGTATGTTCTTCATGAGCTTTCATCAGACAAAATATCATCTAATTTAACTTTCTGGCCAAATTCAAGACGGAAAACACCGGATTTACTCCTTCATAACCAAAGGACTCCGAACAAGACCTCACACTATAATAGCGAGTTCAAATCTTTGCTATGACCGTTCTTTTTTGGATTTCGTATTGCTTGACGAGCCTCATCAAACAAGCTACGAAAAAACTGTATCTGATCAATGGCATAATGGATTGGGACATATACAAGAATCAATTGAACACCGCTCTCTCTGTTCTTCTTTTCATTAATTCTTTTCATTAATTCATTCATTACTTTCATTAAAACTTTAAGCGAAGAAGAACTTGAGGAAGCCGTTTCATACTTCAAAGGCAATATTTAAGAAGCAGCATGGTCTTCATCATCAGCAAAACCTCAAAAATATAAAGCAAAAACATTCAGGACAATCACAAAAGAACCTTGGTACTTAAGCAATATAACCTTACATAGTGACCTTCATATGCCGACTGTTAACGGAACACATACGGAGTCATTACCAACGATTCCACAACACACACTCATAAATGACATGGCCACTATGCAAATGCCATGTAATATCCGTCCGTAGGTGGCTGAAGAAGAGTTGGATGGGGGATATCCTCGTCTACTATAGATACCACGCCAGGAAAAGGTGCCACTGGGTCCTGCTCTTCATCATGTCTAACATTATATGTTTTAACTATCATCACATAAAAAAATTAGAGTTAAAACAAATATTTAAATATCACGTTAAATATCCCACGTTAAATAAAAAAAAATACTTGGTCGGATGTCACTAAAATGATCTTCGCGTTATGATTAGTCTTTCTGCCAAAAATCAGAACTTTATTCGCAATCTGAAGAAAACATAAAGCACTTCAACGTTTGGCTTTAAAGACAATTCAAGAGTTTAAGTTCTATGGTTAAGTTACGTTAACGATGGATAAGCAAAAGAAATAGATACATTACAATTAAATACTCAGTAATTTTGTGTAGTTGTGTAGAGAATTTAATAACCTTCTGTGAATCCTTATTTTCTATTTTTTAGCTTCTATTGCACGAGAAGGGTTCGATTTGTTTTAAAGGTATCTATGGCATGAACTCTTAAAACTAAAAACAAAGAAACGAAATCGGTCCATCCGTTTGCGAGATTGATAGTCCGGAAGACAAAGGCAAAAAAGCTGTTTGATTTCATCATAAAGTTTGCCGTTATATATTTACCATGTCCGCAGGACTGTTGAGAAAATGCAATTCTGTCAGCGTATAGGATAATAAATGGCGGCTCGGTGAAGATAGGTATAGAGAGAATATAGGTAGAAAACATATATATATATATATATATATATATATATATATAGAGAGAGAGAGAGAGAGAGAGAGAGAGAGAGAGAGAGAGAGAGAGAGAGAGAGAGAGAGAGAGAGAGAGAGAGAGAGAGAGGAGGGAGGGAGAGCTTATAGACATAGAATACTACGAACCATATAAATTTATAGTATTTACTGCGTTAAGATATAAAATTATAATCAGTTACCCCTGTGTCCAATGTAAAATCAAAGCTGACAAAATTTCCAACAGAAATGGACAAATTTATTTCTTTAGTATCTTCTATACTTTCCACGACATCTGTCTTAGTAATTCACTAACTTTGAAAAAAATTGCTTATACATCGCATTACATACATGCCTTGCAACCAAAATACATATGCATATTTTCTAAGTCAATGTATACATATGGATGTTGGCTATATAATATATAATTATGGTTTACATAAAGATTAAAAGCTCAATAATCACGAAAAGTAAGTTATTCTGTATATATATCGGAGTTTAAGCATTATGTTCTGAACGATTGAAGATGAGATATTATAGGAATATTACTACTAAACAAAATTTAACTTTATACTGTATGACTTAAAATGGAAAAAAAAATGGAAATATAAAGAGTCAAATAGGGATAAAAATGCTAAATAAAAGTTAGTGAATTACTAGGATGGATATCGCGGAAAGTATACAGTATAGTGAAGAAATGAATCTGTCCATTTGTGTTGAAAATTTTGTCACTATTAATTTTGCATAGAACATTAAGAACACGTAGTTTTTGTATGACTGATATAAACTAAAACAAACAAAAAAAGTGTTCTACCAATAAAGGGGTCTTAATCTATCTTCACCTGGCCGCCATTTTTATTCTATCGGCTATATGATGGAATTTTTCTCATTAGACCGGTGGGCATGGTCAATTTTAAGGGCAAAATCCAGTATCAAATAAGACACTTTTTTTGCCACGGATTCCCGAACAAACAAACACACCTTAAAATTAGTTTTTTAATCAGGCTAAATTTAATCTTAAACACAAACATCCGTTGAAAACCGCACAGCAAAATGTTTATACGATTACAATACTTTCTTTTGCGGTAGGCAAATAAAAAAAAAAAAAAAAGAAAAGAATCACTAAAATAAATCAATAGTATTTACTTAGGTTTACTTAAACCTCCACCAAATGGAACTTGGGACAATACTTATAAAAATGCAATTCCTATTCCGTCCAGCGCTCTGGAGATCAGCGGGGAGACGCAAATGATCCCGAACGGAATCTGTTTAGTTTGAATGCCGGTCCCTTGAGAGCTAATAAATTCTTTTTTCTTTTGTTGAGGATCTTCGAGAAAAAAAGAATTATCTGTAGGAGGAAATAGTATTAAAAAGTAGCTAGTAAAAAAGCAGAAGTTTTGAGGAAGGTACAAGACTGGGTAAAGCCCATTAGAGCGAAAGTATCCTTGCAGGAATCACCAATCCAGAGGATTATTGTGGAGGAGGTGTTAGTTCCGGTGGAGGCTCTATATCAACACCTTCTAATCCACATCGCCTACCTCGGGGATTTACCTATTTTTTTTTCTTTCTACTTTTTATAAGCAGGGTATTAAGCACCTGTGCGGCACC